TGGAAAAGTTTCACAAAATATAGTTTCTATCCCTTTGTACATCTTAACAGAATGTATTGGACCTCTTGGTGTTTTAATATGCTTGCCTTTAGGTCCATAGTACTTGAGCTGGTGTCAGTTTATTGCAGCTAATTTTTTTTTGGTATTTCTTAAAATGTTTTGATCTATTTTCTCCTGGGTATTAGCAAAATATCTGTATCTGTTTCTGTAGTTGGTATTTTAAAGTTGTGTGCCTTTTGTCTTCCATTGTTTGCAAAGTTAGGTTTAAGGTGGTTGATATCTCATTAACTATGATTTTCTTGGTCATTATGTAGCTTGAAAATTATGCAAAAACTGAAGAAGCTAAAATTGAGGAGCTCATTAAAGCAGTTGCAGATTCTGGTGCCAAGGTAATTGTGAGTGGAGCAGCAGTTGGAGAGATGGCACTACATTTCTGTGAGCGGTACAAGTAAGTATCAACATCTTGTCATATTTTTTTTTTATCCTTTCCAACCGTTGCAGCATAAACTGATACTTGTGTCCGTAGAATCAGATAAACCCTTCAATACCCATCTTAAGGTATTCAAATCTCTTTAAGAGATCTTTGAGCTCTTTTTCTGTTTTAACTTGTTATTTCTTGATTCCAGGCTCATGGTGCTGAAAATCAGTTCAAAATTTGAATTGAGACGATTTTGCCGTACAACTGGTGCTGTTGCCATGGTAATCTCACGAGAATCTGATTTGTGAGAACCTTATTGAATGTTTCTTAATTATGAGAATCTTACAAAGTATTTTTGCAACAGTTGAAGCTTAGCCAACCTAACCCAGATGATCTGGGATATGCTGACTCTGTCGCGGTTGAGGAAATTGCCGGTGTTAGGGTATGCTGAAAAGATGTTTCCTTAGACCTAGTACTGTATCAAAATTATCTTGTTCTCGGTTATTTTCTTTTTCATCTTCTTGATACATCTAACGATTTTTTATGTAGGTCACTGTTGTGAAGAATGAAGAAGGTGGGAATTCAGTAGCTACTGTGGTTCTACGGGCAAGTACTGATAGTATATTAGATGACCTTGAAAGAGCAGTTGATGATGGAGTGAACACATACAAGGTAATTTATGTGGAGCATTAAGAGTTTTCTGTGTTGTTTGGCTGGCTTGTTTTAGCAATCACTGGAGGCATATTGTTCTCTGGAACTCTTGAAGTTGTTCTGTATTCAGGTGTCCAAACCATTGAAAGTAATTTCTTGCTTTCCTAATGCATTTCATTGTCAGGCCATGTGCAAGGATAGCCGCATTGTTCCTGGAGCTGCTGCTACTGAAATTGAGTTAGCTAGAAGAGTGAAGGAATTCTCTTTTAAAGAAACAGGGTAAATTGTCTCTGTTTTTGAATTATTTTAGTTCAACTGAATTACATAATACACATGGAGATTTCTGCTCGTCAGACAAAAATGACCAACAATAAGTAATGATTTAATCCTCAAATGAGGTGGAATTAGCTAGTCAAAGGTTAAAACGTAGACCGTTTCTAGAATTTAAGTCACTGTTTCTGGAATTTAAGTCATTGTTTATGGATTTTGGTTCTTTTCTTTCCAGATACAGTGTTTGTTTGTGCATAGACAAAACAAACACCGTATCTGATTTTTTTTTTCCAGAAACAGTTTTATGTTTTGGTTTTGTTTTGTTTTTTTTTTTTTTCAGACACTTTTTCGCCAGTTTCTGTCATTAAACTTCTTTGAACTTGTTTCGGCAGCTTTGTTCCGATGAATGCTTCCTTTTTCGCAGTTTTAAATGATCCAACCAAATTAACACGTAAAGGAAATATGACTAGCAGCAAAAGCAAAACAAAAGAAAAAAAACAGATATGTCATGGATGTTCTGGTCCAAAAACGGTGTGGTTTAGAAATCATGAATTTTGATATGATTCGTTTAGATTTTTTAGGGTGATCTGCAATATTGGATTTGTAATTTGCTTGTAACGTTGTCCCTGACAGCATAAAATAGAATCTGGGCGTGAGAGAAATAAGTAACACACTAAAGAAACACTGGTTTTGCAGATTGGATCAGTATGCTATAGCAAAATTTGCCGAAAGTTTTGAGATGGTGCCTAAAACTCTGGCTGAGAATGCTGGGAAGAATGCAATGGAGATCATATCTTCTCTCTATGCTGAACATGCATCAGGAAATACGAAAGCGGGCATTGACTTAGAGGAAGGCCGTTGCAAAGATGTGTCGACTATTAATGTTTGGGACCTCCACATAACTAAGTAAGCTTTCTTTGTCATCTTTCAAGTCAAGTTTTTATGGGAACGGATTTCATTGTGTATTGTTACAACTTACAACTGTGATGCTTGATGCGATTTTGTTCATGAAGATTAAGTTTTGTGCATTAAATTTTGGGTCTAGAATTTGTTTGTAGAGGACACTTTGAATTTCCATGCCCTTTTTGGTGGTTTTGAAATTGAATAGTCAATGAGTTCCTTCTGCATCTGTAGTTGTTCATCAGTTTAGGTTCACTTGTTGGCCAATTACTCCTTACACAAGGGAATATTTGTAATTGTAGATCTTTTATTTGATTCATTGAAATCAAAATTATTTGTTGAACCACTAGATTTTTCGGTAAACTCTTGCCCAATGTTGTTTTTCTTTATATGTGATATTAGGCGTCCATATTTCGTCTTGGGATTTTATTCTTTCTTTTTTGGCCTGACCTTTCTTGTGATGTTTGTTACAGGTTCTTTGCTCTCAAGTATGCTGTGGATGCTGCCTGCACTGTCCTAAGAGTAGATCAAGTAAGTAATTAGTAACCATTGGTCAATGCTTTTTTTGGTCCCTAAGTGTATCGTTACCAATATATCTTCTCGTAAGGATGCCCACCTTATCGCAACTATTGCATATAAATTGACGGCTGCTTTCAAATATTTCGCTCATTATGATTACCTTAATAAATATAAGTAATGGTAGTAAGATAAAAAAAGGCGGCAGCTGATATTTTTTTTGACAATGCCTTGACCGTGTTGCAGATTATAATGGCAAAACCAGCAGGTGGCCCAAGTAAGAGAGATCAGCCTGCAGGGATGGATGAGGATTAACTTGTTTTGTGTCACAAAACAAGTTTTGTGCCACAACTAACTATCTCGCTTGTATTTTAGGATACGAGGACAGTTGAAAAGCGTGTTTGGTTTCTCGAGTTTTTGTTCTAGCTGGTCCTCGAGTTTTTGTGGTCTTGGCTGGTCCTTGAGGTTTTGTCGAAAGCTTTTGTTTTCGTATGTGCCCCTGCTAGACACTAATGGATTGGAATTATATAAATTCTCCTTCTATGACTGCAGATTATGTTTCTTCAATTCGTTCTTTCCTCTAGCCTTTGTTCAATGATACTTCCCCGGTGCAGTTTTCGTCTTTGTATTTGCTTGCCATCTTCTCTTTAGCTGTTCAAATGTTTATGTGGTCCTCTTTGTTTCTCAAAGTTGCTGTAATTCTGGTGTCGGTTTCTCCGATTGTCCTTTTTATTGTTCTTGTGAGAAAGTTTTTCCGGCCAAAAACTACACCCGAGGTCGAGCGTTTGAATCTCTCTCTTTCCCAATATCGTCTGTTTTGGTGGCTAAAAGAAAAACTCGGTTAAAAAAGGATTAGAACCCAAGGTTTACCATTCACCCACTCCCCTTTGCTCGAGCGGTTGAGCTTAATCCGAAATTTACTTGAGCAAAATTTTCTGTTCACCCTCCCTCATGCTGGTACGGTGGTGTTTTGATCTATTAACACAAAGTCATATGAAGTGAGATTAGCAAATTGTATTATATTATTTGATCGAGACGTCACTGTGAGAGTGTATGTATATAGTTCATCTAAGTTTCCTCTTTTAAAGGGAGAACCTAAGAGGGTTATTGGGCATTTTTAGTGTAAATTTACATCAAAAGAGGGTGCAACATTGCTCTTTTTTTTTTTTTTGAAATGCAAATAGCATTAAAGTGAGAAAGGTAAAATGCCTTGAAATGGGCATTGTTAGTATCTTGTTTGCCGGAAAGCTATTTAATAGTAAAATATTATCTTCGAAGGATGTTAATTTTTTACATTTTTAAAACCATCTCTAATTCTGAGCCTAAAATATAAAATTTTTAGCATAGAAAATTTAGGTTTTAACTCAGAAATAGCTTTTTTGCTCCAACCCTTCTGGCCTAGAATTTTAGCCCCAGATTATTAAATAATGAATTTAGACTATTTTTTAAAATTAACTTTAAAAAAAATTATGTAGACTATCATAAATTAATTTTATGAACATTTTAACAAAAAATATTTAAATTCCGATAAATATTGAAAAATCACTAAATCGATACATGAAACTCATGAAACACTATGGAAGAATATGAAAATCATGATAGGGATGTATAAACACAAAATATATGAAACACACAAGACACACAAAACACAAAACACATATGAAACATATACAAAACACATGATAGAGCCACAAACCTTCAATCATCCTCTATATAAGAATATGTTGAATATCTAACCATCACACAACATATTCACCAATCTTCCAACTTTCAAAGTGTTTTTGTTTCCTCAAAATCATTAATATCTCATCAATGAACGATAGAAGAAGGCGTAGCTTGACAATGCAGATGTCACAATACCAAGCAAGTGTTGAAATTGCGGATGCAGAAATGATTAACGAAGAAGCCGAATTGGTATACTCACTTATGCAATATGCGCACCATGCCGAATTTAGCTACCATGATTCTGTCAAGATGCGTTCATTTGTAAGTTCTGTTAGTAAATGAGAAATATAAATGTGATTTTTATGTCTCAATTTTGTATTTGTTGGTGAAAATACTCTAATATAATTATACTAAATTAAAATATAGGGAATAGTTATTGGTACTTTAAAAATTTTGTTTTGCACTTTAAACTTTTTATAATTAGAAAGAACAATACTGTAATAATAGTCTCCAAAACATTTAGACACGTATAAATCGGTTATTTTTTTTAAAACAAAAATGGGTACTTATTTGTAAGAAAAAAAAAGTCCTGAAGTGCCAAAGTAGGAGATCTGACTGAAAAACCTCAACCCCAACATAAAGTCTCAAGCTCTTCTCCTCGCCTTCCCTTTCCCCCCTTGAACCAACCATCAATGTCCGACCGAAGCTCCGCCGCTGGCGACGGCGATCCTAAGGACGACTCCATCGCCAAGACTGCCGGCTTAGTGGTGTTCTCCGGCATCGCTATGAGCATTCTCAAAGCTCTAAACCCTTTTAACAAAAGCGGAAATGAAGAAACTCCTCCACTCTCCGAGTCAACTCAGCCCATTCAGCCTCCATCGCAGCCGCCTCTCCCTTCCCAGCAACAGCAACCCATCACTGCCGAGGAACCACACCCTCCTCTTCCGGTACGCGCAAGTTTTGATTTGACGATTTGGGGTCACCCATTTCCTTGTTTGTTTCGACTTGTTTGTGAATTTTTGAATTTTTATTGTTATTTGAGTGATCAAATCATGTGTACATTTTAGAAAGAAAAAAAAAAAACCCTTTACTTGTATTCTGATTTAGTTTTGGAGAAAATTTTCAGTGTGTATTTTATCGTTTTATCGGGCCGTGTTCTGGCACACTGCAAAATCGACATTGATTTGATTTGTGGATGTTATTGCAGAAATCCATTACCAGCAAGGACCAAAATGCACGGGAGACGCCGAAGTCATCGCATAAAACGATAGAGATCGAGAAAGGAGACACTCTTTGGGGACTCTCTAGAGAACATGGGGTAAGCTTTTCAACTATTTTAACCGTCTTTGTATTGCACATGTGTCTACATTTTTCTTGGAGAATTGGCATCCATGAAGTAGTTCTTTTGGCGTCGAATTGCGGCCTGCTAAGTTTATGATTTTAAACCATATCCATATGCTTTGGGAGATATATGTTGAAGAGATGTTGAAAACACCTTTAACTTGCACATTGTGAATCTGTTTTTTCGAACAATAATCATACAAACAAGACGCAACCCCTGGAAAAAGAAAACAGCTGTGAAATTTTCGACGGACTTTGAAACATGTACTTTGTATCTCGATGACTACGTGTCTGTAAAGTTCCTGCCCTTTTGTCCTTGAATGTTCGGGAAATTCTAGGCCATGTTTTGAAAACCTTGAAATTTGTCACTTGCAAAGAAGTGGCTCGTTCGTGACTGAACTAAGCTTGATCCAACTAACCGGCTCAAAGGATTTGAATGTTACTTGGTTACTAGAGCAACATATAACATTTGATCAACGGATTTGAATGTTGGTTACCAGAGCAACATATGACATTTGAATTTGATTTACTTCATTCTGAAATGCTTGAGTGCTTCCGCTCGAGAAACGATTGAAGGTTAAGACAATCTGCATCTCTCGTTGCTCATTGCACAAGGCCTACTTCAATTGAATCGCAGCAATATGACTAGTTAGTTATATTTATTTTGGTAATCTTGGTTTGCTTTTCAATTGATGTATACATTGTCTTTTCATGCACGTCTCATATTAGGTATCCATTGATGCGATCAAAGAGGCGAACGGTCTTACAGGAGACACGATCTATGCTGGCAAGAAGCTTATCATTCCATGAACACATATGGTCCCTGTCGTCCTATAAACTGGTTTGGAGAAATGTTAGGCAATCAAATGCAGTCGCTTTTGCCTCCCTTACATCCTTTGTAGTTTCAAGAAAGGTTGGCAATCAAATGCAGTCGCTTTTGTCTGCCTTCATCCTTTGGAGTTTTGAATCGTATTTCTTTGGATTTTTGATATGGGGTGGTGTAAGCTAGTTACGAGACAATTTTATCAGAAATCTTTACTTTGATCCTGTGAATTCTCTGGATTCAATTTGTTCCGTTTGTTTCATTACCTGAAGTTGAGAAGTAAATTTATACTTTTGACTCTTTTAAATCGAACAAATTTTCAAGCAGATAAATACACAACTTGTTTCGACACAAACAAGAAGCTTACGACAAGCGTGCAGCAAAGAAACCGAAGTTCCGGGCAACTCAAGATCTAATGGTATATAGTAACTACAAAAATTTTGGAGGTACATCCAGAAGCTTATCATTCGAAAAACAAATTAACATACTCTGTTCCAAACCTTGACTCAAGCTTTGACAAAACTGAAATTTAACAGAAGCTGGTCATAGAGACCGAACAAACTAATTCGACAAAAGTTGGGGCCTAAGCTGTGAGCTGCTGCGACTTGTTAAGAATCACACCCTCATACTTGACCTGGAACCATTTCATGGCATCATCCTTTGTGACTCTGTGCCGGATCCCCACGCGAGATTTGCACCTGCGACGACGACCCACACGGTAACCTGGACGCTCCAAAACAATGTAGAAATCCATTCCATAGATACCAGTAGAAGGATCGTACCTGAAAGAAAGATGATAAATAACAAGAATGAATAAACAATGCATTGAGCAAGAACATCAGATAAATAAGACAGGAAAAGCAACAAAAGAGTCCAAATAACAATCAAATTGACCCAAAGTTTCTATAACTGCTTCCAGGACGGAATACAAAACAAACTAAGAACTGCTTCCTAAGAGTCACTGTAAAATTATAGGACAATCCTAACTAGCAAATACACTACTATGCATGCAAAACGCCTGTACATGGTAGACGGAAATTACATATCATCTACAAAATTCAGCTATTACGGTCTCCAGCAAAATCACGAATCCATTTATTCTAGAAAATAAAGCAGCTTACTTGATTCCCAAATCAATGTGCTCCTGGATGCCAAATCCAAAACAACCAGTGTCACTGAAGTTCCTTCGTAGCAACTCATATTCCTTGACCTTCAATCCACTCTCCAAAAGTTGCATCGCCTTGTCGCCCCTCACGGTAACATAACAGGCAATCTTCTCATTACGCCTGATACCAAAGGATCGAACAGTGTACCTCGCTATATATTGCAAATGAGAGAATCACATTAGTATACGGTATAACACAGATGAAAACATATACAACAAATACTCATAAACCAAATGAAAAATTACTATCCAATAAAAGGAAAATTCCAAAAATTCATACATTCACACTACTTAGTTCCAGAAAGTAATTACAGAAGAGGCTGGTCTATCAGCAAAAACCTTTTTACTAGAAAATTTAACCAGAGTTAACAACGTCAATCCGCTAGACTCAACGTCAATCTGCTAGACTCCTTAACAACTAAGTCATTAGCCAAGACCTTAAACATATCTAACTAGAAGGGCTAAAAGCACGAAAACAGAACAAAGTCCACACTCAATTCAACTTTTGGGCTCTTGGAGTATTATAGACAAAATTCCTCAACCGTTGAAGCAATAAGAAGGTAAAATATAGGCAAATTGATGAAACACAAAGGAAAAGATCATATGCAAACACCGCCCCATGATACAGATAAAATCAGAAAACTCTTAATGCACTCAAACTCATAGTCAATTTATGATTCCGAAAACAAATAACAAAAGAAGTAGTCAACATAGTGAAACATAAACCCAAGATTTTGATTTCACTTCCAATGAGAACCCATGAAAAGCAAACTAATTTGTAGCAGCAGACAGATGAAATAATGCAAAAAAAGAATTACCAATAAAAATCCAAACAACAACAACAAAGCTTTTTCCCACTAAATGGGGTCGGCTATATGAATCTTATAATGCCATTGGGCTCGGTTATGTGTCACGTCTTCCGATAGATCCAAGTACTCTAAGTCACCAATAAAAATCCAAACGGGTAAAAAAAATTATTACCTTTGGAGAAAACGGGTGTTTGGCCACTGAGTTGCTCCAACACCTTCAAACAAAAAACAATTAAATCAAACAGAAAACAAAAATTCCTCTACAGGCTCTACTATAAGATAGCATTACAGAATTTGTGTGAGATGGGATGGGAGGTGAGGATAGCAATGGGGAGTACCTTGGCGGCTCTCGTGAGTCTATCTCCGCTCTCACCGACGGAGATGTTGAGCACCAGCTTCTGGACCTTGATCTCCCTCATGGGGTTCGCTAACTTCTTCTCTTCAGCCTGCATTTCCCACACCCCACAAAATCCAATTCAAAACCATTACCAAACTTGATTAACATACACCCAAATGCAGAAATTAAACATTGAAATCGATGAGAGAGAGAGAGAGAGAGAGACCATTTGGGATTGGTGGGTGGCAGCCGCAGTAGGGGTCTGGTACGAAGAGTGAGAGAGAAGCAAGAACCCTAATATGACCAGAGCTCCAGTGTATGAGGAGCTAGGGTTTTAGGAGACACAAGCACCCCTCTTAGACTTTCAAAATTACAGTTTTGCTTCTATATTTTAGGGCTTGGGTAGCTTCGCACTGGCCCGCCCGTGGAGAATATCGTCACATGAATCACTCATTTCTACTTACCATATTTGTCGAATTGCTTCCAAAATTTGTATGTTACAGTTAATTTTCTTCTTGAATTTTAATTTTAATCTATTAATTTTAAATTTTTTATAATTAGCATATTTTCCTTTTAAATTTTAATTTTGCCAATTATTTTCTGAATTTTTATAAATAATTAATTTTTTAAGAAAACTAACAAAAAGTTCAAAAAAAACTTCCATTTTAATGAAAAGCCATTTTTAAAGGTATAATGAATAGTATCAGAGAAATGTATAAATGTGACTTTTCGTTAAAAGTAAACAATACTGGAAATGTTTTGTTAAAACTTCATAATTTTTTTTCCTAATGCTAGATATTAAAAATTTTCATCAAATTTACTATCCATTTTGATCTCGCATAAATTTTAGATCTAACGCAATGGGAAAAATTAACTATTTATAAAAGTTCAAAAAGATAATCACATAAAATTAAAGTTCAAAAAAAAAAAAAATGGTAGTTCTATACAAATTCGGAACAAACCCACAAATATCTCTTTCAACTTCAATGGGAGAATTTTTATTTAATATGCCTATTGGGCCACGTAAGCCGTCAGTAACAATAGAGTACTTACTGGTCAGTAGTTGTGTTTTACCTCTTTTAATGGAGAAGAAAAACCCGCGAGAACTAGAAGCGTCTGGGTTGAACGAGAAAGGGCTTGAGTTTGAGGGAGCAAGGTTTAAGCGGCCATTTCCACTTTTCTAGGGTTGCAGTTGCAACGAAAAGTACAGGAGTAGCAGAGGAAGAAGAAGATGGGGTTCGGAATGCAGCCCTACGGAATACAATCGATGCTGAAGGAGGGCCACAAGCATCTCTCCGGTTTGGACGAGGCGGTGCTGAAGAACATCGATGCCTGCAAGCAACTCTCCACCATCACCAGAACTTCTCTCGGTCCCAATGGTATGTCCTCTCTTACGCCACCCACTACAAATCACACTCCCTTTTGGTGGATCAGATGCATACTTTTGCAAGTGTGTGTGTGTGTGTGTGTGTGTGTGTGTGTGTGTATATATATTTTTAATTTTTTCGAATTATTTGTATACTTTTTCGATAATCAGGTATGAATAAGATGGTGATCAATCACTTGGACAAGCTATTTGTGACAAATGATGCCGCCACCATTGTCAACGAACTGGAGGTTCAGCATCCTGCTGCCAAAATTTTGGTTTTGGCAGCCAGGGCTCAGCAGGAAGAAATCGGCGACGGCGCTAATCTCACCATTTCTTTTGCCGGGGAGCTCCTTCAAAACGCGGAGGAGCTTATCAGGATGGGCCTGCACCCGAGCGAGATCATCAGTGGGTACAATAAAGCTATCAAAAAGGTTTGTCAATTCCGTTTTATGACTGAGTGTTTTTTTTTTCTCGTTGAACTGAGATCATTGGAATTCTTGTGTTCTGAGTTTTGTTTTATTTTTTGAACGTTTCAGACGATTGAAATCTTAGATGGACTGGTTGAGGAAGGTTCTGAGAACATGGATGTGCGCAACAAAGAACAAGTGGTTTGTAGAATGAAAGCTGCTGTTGCCAGCAAGCAATTTGGGCAAGAGGATATCTTATCCTCACTCGTTGCCGATGTAAGTATTACTTTTATCTCCTTATGTGTTAGTCCTTAATTTCTATGTCAGCTACTCAGCTTACTTTGAGCCAAGGAAAGAAGAATAGTGTATTACCGTTTGTTAGCAAGTTTTAATGGTAAATTTTTTATTGGACGATATAGGCGTGTATACAAGTGTGCCCGAAGAACCCAATAAACTTCAATGTGGATAATGTACGTGTTGCAAAGATTGTGGGAGGGGGTTTGCATAATTGTACAGTAGTTCGAGGTATGGTGTTGAAAAGTGATGCTCTGGGGAGTATAAAGCGAATGGAGAAGGCCAAGGTTCGCAGTCTTTTATGTATATGTACTTTTGAACATTTTGCATAAAATGTACATGCTATACCCTTGAAATGATGTGTTTTGTTTCCACATGGTCTATTAAAAACTTTGACAGATTACTCTTTGCTAATTACTTTGAGTTGTCCTTTTAGCACCCTTTATGGAGTTTTCACTATTCTTTACCTTTGGACTTTGATATAAAGGCACAAATTATTGGTTTCTCTGGGAACTGTAGGGACATTATACTGAGAATCTCATATGAAATTTGAAGCAACTTGTGAATGATGGGTAGAGGTGTACTTTATTTGAACTTCCAGCATGGAATACTGGGTGTAGGGAAGGGGAAATTCAATGATTGTAACAGGAAAGTTAGCATGATTATCATTTATCATACTTTTTCGCCACCATTAAATGTCATTAAGCTGGTTGATATTTGCCAATGTCAGATGCCTAAATTGATTTGCTTTTTGTTTGTCATAGACAGTATAATGCAATGATATTTCAGAAAAAATTCACTGGAAATGGCAGGTTTGTTGAATGATTAAAATAAACCTTTGGTCTGTGTTGGTCTGATGATGTTTGATCAAAGAAATACCAGTTAGAATAGGGTAGGTGTTGGTCTGTTTTG